ACGTATAATTAAAGGCATTTAATGTAAAAACTTTGATGTGAACTCCAACATCAATATATTCCCTTGTATAAACTACGTCAGTGAATTTCCTTGTATACAACGTCAATGAATATACTAATTCACTAATGTGGATTATCATGGTGATTCCTTAGAATTCCTAATACAACTTTGGCCACTATATCAATAACTGAGGGAGGCATTATTTCCAGGGTGATCTTCACCGACATAATGAACAATGCTAGGCGTTTTCATCACATGTAGAAAGCTTTCACCTATGTGGCTCCACGATGCTGATGTTGTGCTCTCTAGGTAACTGGCCGAGCTGAATCTCTTCATCAGGTGGCAAAAACCAGAGTTAATCTTCCTCTTGGAGACAAAGAGCTCGGCGAATGTGATGGAAGGTATAAGAGAAAAAACGCTAGAATGTGAAGGAATGTCATGTTTACACGCAGAAGGGGATGGAGAGGGCTTAGCTCGAACGTAGTTTTATGCTGTGAAAGTCAAATTCCTAGCCCTCTCGATGAACCACATTGATGTGAAGGTGGAGGACAATGGGGGAAGAGGTAGAGGTTTATGGGCACATACGGGGGAGGAGCTGTGGGAATTACTTAGTGGACTTAAAATTTCCGTCGTCTTTGTCTTGGATGTGGACAATTGCTTATAATAATGAAATTATGAATTATAATGCGGTGAATCTTACATTAGTGAGAGTTGTGAATAAGTTTGATATATAAATGTAGAGTCTAACTACTCAATAACTTGAGCTTCAGCTTATTGACCTTGACTTGAAAAGTTGTTAAATCAGTGGTGGGCTCTAACTTGGATCATTTCAATTTTATACCAAAACAGTCACCTCTCACAAGTGTAGGTCCATGCTGACTATCATAACTGGTGGTATCCATCATTTGAGGTGAATCCTGTGCTCGTGGCCACATTTAAGTGGGAGCAGACTAACTAGTGGCCAATGGTATCCATCACTTGAGGTGATTCTTGTGCTCATGACCACATTTAAGTGGAATGAGATTGGTATATAAGGCAATTACGGCATTCAGGTAAGCTTTGGAAGATGTTGGACTACAAAAGCTGCCCTTCAAGGGGCCCCGGTACATTTGGTTTAGGAAGGCCAGATGGAGCCCTCATAGAGCAAGAACTAGCTAAGGACGTTTTTTCTATGGAATGGAAATAGATGTTCCTACTAGCTCAGTTGTTGACAACAGTATTTGATCATTTATCCATCATGATATAAAATAGGTAGGAGAAGTGCACAAATATGAAAAGGAGTAGATAGTTTCATTTTGAGGAGACGTAAAGAAGGCAAGAGGATTTGCAAGATGGTGATCAAGGAAGGATGGAAGGAACGAGCAGAACTAACTTTGGTTCAATGTTAATTGGTTTGCAAGATTAATGGATAAAGAGATGCGCTGATGGACTGGCGATGAATGTCCTTTAGGTATGTCTAGAAGCAACTTGAAAATCTGCATAACGAACTAAAGAAAATGAAAGATAGCAGAGATGAGGAAGAGGGTGGAAGGATAGTAGAGCTTTAGAAGTAGAATAATGAACTATGCAAGGAAGAAGGTGATGTGAAGATAGAGAACTAGAATTGACTGGTTGAAGGAAGGGGATAGAAATACAACATTGTTTCATGATAAGGCTTCTCGAAGGAAGGTCAAGAACACTATAACAGGAATAAAGAACAAGCAAGGGAACTATGTAACAAACGAAAGGTAGGTCACAATGGTAATTTGCAATTACTTTTGAGTAGTTGTTCACAACACAATGGGACTAGTATACATTAGATACACTAAGTGTTATAAAGAATTGAGTTTTGCTAGATAAGTTTAGGGCTGGATTGGAGACAAGGTACATAAAGGATGAGGTCGTATACACAATCTTTTAGATTCACCTCACAAAGCTCTAGGGTCGAATGGATTGGACGATTCATTCTATAAGAATTACTAGTATGTGGAGGGAAAAGATGTGACGTAGGAAGTGCTAAGCTTCTTGCATCAAGGGGTGCTAGATGAAGAACTAAATAAGATTAGCATATGACTGATTCTAAAAGTCAAATAACCAAACGAGTTGGAGGATTTCAAGCCCATCAGTCTCTGCAACGTAGCATACAATCAGAGTAGCTTTGTTTCCAAAAGACTGATCCACGAGAATTCATTAGTAGCATTTGAAGTAATACATTAGATAAAAGAACAGACATTCAAAACAATAAGAGACAAAGTATGGGCAAAACTATAAGGTTGGAAGAATAAGTTATTGTTAACGGTAGGCAAGGAAGTGCTTATCAAGGCAGTTTTCCAACTCATTTTAACTTTGATTTTACACAAATTGCATAGGTAAAATCGTAAAATCGTACGATTTTACGAGTTAAAACGCAATTTTAATAACCATGCCTCTAACTATCAAGGGGGAGAGAAGCAATGGCAAAGGGGGGAGAGAAATAGTGGCAAAAGGAGGAAAGAAGCAGTAGCAGCTAGGGGAAGAAGAAAACAAGGCATAGAGGAGAAAATCAGGGCAACAAAAGGGAAAAAACTTGTGATATTTGAAAGCAAATCCCACACCGACGGTGTAAAATAAGATTTTGGGTATGTAAGTCAACACTTGTGACCTTTTGTTGTTGTGTTTTAAAACCGTAAGACCCGATAGGCTGAAACCAACAACATATATTGTGGGCTGGATCATTACAAAACTACGAAAGCCTTTTCATTCGCTTTCTCACTATAAGATATTTTAATCATTTTCATTAAGTGTTTATTGAAGTTGACAAAGAAAATTTGGTTTTTATTGAAAACTTGAAATGGTGTCGTCTTAGACTTTTGAAATCTTAAATTTTTAAAAAGCATGACTGATATGCTCATTTTATACAAACAAGACCTATAGGTGTTGTGTGTAGTTTTTCTGTATTGGATTTGGTTAAGTAGTTACTAATTATAAATTTTTATGCTAATAATTAAAATTATTTTTTTGATAATTACTAATTTTAAATGTAATAATTTATAAAAAAAATTGTTTGAATAGTAGATATGAAAGAAGATATAAGTGTACAAATTTAATCTTTTTCATTTTAAAGAATAAGGACAAATTTTCATAAAAATGACATTGAAAATTTTAGACCAGGAGTATACTTTTTTTATTTTTAATTAATTTTTATTACAAATCAAGTATCACTTCATATTTAGATGTTAGTAAGGATATTGTTAGCGTATTTAATCATTTATAGTACATTATTATAATTGTTTTTTATCTTCAAGTGCATTATGATAAGTTACTAATTTGTTAAATATCAACTTTCCCAGACTTAGTATTCAGAAATTATTAATTTACTATTCTATATTTGTTTAATAATTATTAAGAGAAGAATAAAATAGGAAGAAAGAAGGGACCAATTATCTAAATTTATTAACCAATGGGTCTTACACCCATATTCTATAATTATAAATTGAATTAATTTTCTATTCTATTAAGTTTTTAATCTATGGGTGCCACAACCTTTCTTAAAAATTTGAACTACCCTTTAATAAGTATTTTTTGTCTTTTGATCAACTTATTTACGGTTTG